GATCTTGCTGATATGCAAACACAAATAACCGAGCTGCAGAGTCAACTGACTAGATTGAAGCCACAAAAATCAGTCCAACCTGCAACTTCTCAAAATGATCTGGTCACAGAGTTAAAAGCACAAATTTCTGAGCTTCAAAGCCATCTGGCTAGACTAAAACCAGCAAATCCTTCTAGGAAAAGTTATAGTGCGCCAAAAACTAATGTTAAGACACAGCTTAAGCCTAAAGTACCTGAACAAGCATCAACAGCCCGAACTCCGAAGAGCAGGCCAAAACCTGGGTACTGTTTTCAATGCGGCGAAGATGGTCATATGGTTTCAGCGTGCTCCAATGACCCAAATCCATCCTTAGTTGCTGATAAAAGGAAGCAGTTGAAAGAGAAACAATTACTTTGGGACAAACAGAACAGTCAAACGCAGTCTTTAAACTAAAGCAAGCCCCCATTGAGGGACAGATGGGTGCTACCAATGAAACCAGTCCCTCTGAACATTCAAGTAAAACCAAAAAATGTTTCAATCACAACCACTCAGCCTCTGTAAAGATACCCAAAGGTCTAGTTGGAGCCAAGTACACTGCTGAAGTACAAATTAATGGACAAGTTTGCAACTGCCTTCTCGATACTGGGTCCCAAGTGACAACAGTGTCCCAGCCGTTTTATGAAAGTCATCTCTCACATCTGGAAATCCATTCAATACACGACCTGCTTGAGATCGAAGCCGCCAATGGTCAGAATATTCCATATTCAGGCTATATTTGTGTTGATATCACTTTTCCAAAGGACTGTTTTGGACACGAACTGACTGTGTCTTCTCTTGCATTGATTATTCCAGACACACGCTCCAGTGTCCAGTCTTCTCTCTTGATCGGCACCAATACTCTTGACCTTCTTTTTGAAAACCTTTCTCTAACCAATACAGACCCCAGTATCCTTGCTTATAGCTACAGAGTGGTGCTGAGTGTGTTACAGAAGAGACACCAACAAAAAGAGGATGGACACCTTGGCCTTGTCAGACTGGCTGGAAAGGAGCCTGAAATCATTCCTGCAGGCCAAAGCAAAGTCTTGGAGGGGTCAATTCAGGTGAATGCAAACACCCCAGAAAAGTGGGTTGTAGTTGAGTCCCCCTACACCTCTTCTTTGCCAGGCGGTGTTCTTGTTACAAACTGTTTACTTACCCTTCCTGAGAAAAACTCACAAAGGCTTCCGGTGGTCCTGCGAAATGAAAGCAAACATGACATAGTTATTCCTGCAAAGAGTGTTATTGCTGAAATTCATGCTATGCAAGAGATTTTGTCAACCCCTCAGGTCTCCCAGGAGCCCAAGATTTCCAGTACAAAGCACCCTGAGCTTAATCTAAACTTTGCAGATTCGCCAATCTCTGCTGAATGGAAAGAACGAATTATGCAGAAATTGACTGCCATGCCTGAGGTTTTTGCACTGCATGATACAGACTTTGGTTGCACAAATAAAGTAAAGCACCAAATTAAACTGAGCGACGAGACCCCGTTTAAGCACAGACCCCGTCCTATACGACCACAAGATGTTGACGCTGTGCGGAGACATTTGCAGGAGCTGTGGGAGTCAGGAGTAATACGCGAATCTGAGTCGTCTTTTTCCTCCCCAATAGTGGTGGTAAAGAAGAAAAACGGAGATGTAAGACTTTGTGTTGATTATCGGAAGTTAAATCAGAACACCATCAAAGATGCCTATGCGCTTCCTAATTTGGAAGAAGCCTTTTCAGCCCTCACAGGATCAAAATGGTTCTCGGTCCTTGATCTCAAAAGTGGGTACTATCAAGTTGAAGTAGATGAGGCAGATAAGCACAAGACAGCTTTTGTATGTCCACTGGGATTCTTTGAGTTCAACCGAATGCCGCAGGGCATAACCAATGCTCCCAGTACATTTCAAAGGCTGATGGAAAGATGTATGGGTGACATCAATCTTAAGGAAGTCCTAGTCTTTTTGGATGACCTTATAGTCTTTTCAGAAACCCTTGAACAACATGAAGCACGTCTTCTCCATGTGCTCAGTCGTCTCAAAGAATACGGTCTAAAACTATCACTTGAGAAATGCAAGTTTTTTCAGACATCAGTGAGGTACTTGGGGCACATTGTCTCTCAGCGAGGGGTTGAAACAGACCCTGAAAAAGTGGCAGCCATAACAACTTGGCCAAGCCCCAAGAATCTAAAAGAACTCCGTTCCTTCTTAGGTTTTGCGGGGTATTATAGACGATTTATAAAGGACTTCTCTAAAATCGTCAAACCCCTTACTAACCTAACAGCTGGATATCCCCCACTGAGAAAGAGTAGTCCTAAGCCTAACATGGACCAGTACTTTCAGCCAAAAGCTCCTTTTGGGGAAAGATGGACAAAGAGTTGTCAACAAGCATTTGAAACAATAATCAACAAACTAACTACAGCCCCAGTCTTAGGTTTTGCCGACCCCAAGTTGTCGTATGTGCTACATACAGATGCCAGTACAACTGGGTTAGGGGCAGCTATTTATCAAGAGCAGGAAGGAGAGATGCGCGTAATTGCATACGCAAGCCGAGGTCTGTCAAGAAGTGAGAGCCGTTACCCCGCTCACAAGCTTGAGTTCCTTGCCCTTAAGTGGGCGGTAACAGAAAAGTTTTGTGATTATTTGTATGGCAGTCCCTTCACAGT